TCGCTGTCTGTCACTTGTACTTGATGTATGACTTCCAGTCCATCACAGCATTACGGTTTATCCAGACTGTCACTATCAGCACCCGAATATGGAGTGACAGTGATGCAGTCGTGCAGATAGATAAAATCATGATGCAAACAGCCTCTCACTTACCTACCTGACAAATATTTACTGACTTTATTTAGCTTCTTGTGGGTGCAGCCAAACCATTGTGCTATATATGATGGAGACAGGAAGCCGGAGGATGGGTATGTGTGAAACCTCTGAGACATCTCTTTAGACTATTTGCTCAAACTGGCAATGGTAATGAAGCGTACTCTAGCAGGCAACAGTCATAAGAAGACTTTAGCAGCAGCAGCAGCAGCAGCAGCATCTCTTTTTAATCCCTCAGCTGATGAGAAGAAGTATTTTGCAATTATAATGTCTCTTTGTGGTCATAAGGAAAACAATCTCGAAGTTTGAGCAGAATTTTATGGTTTTGTGCTTTTCTGTCTTATTCTCAAGGCAACAACAAGGTAAGAACAATGAAAAACTGCAGCCATACATCTTCGTGTCAGAAGGAAGTGGAAGAAAAACAGATTGTATTTTTAGTTTCACAAAGTAAGAAAGTGAGAAGTAAGTTTTTCAAGCTATATGGATGAGCGTGTGTGTGTGTGTGTGTGTGTGTGTGTGTGTGTGTGTGTGTGTGTGTGTGTATGTGTGTGTACATTGTTAAGAGGAAATTTAGCATGATGTTCATTTCAACAGTAAGAGCTTCAAGTGCTAAACAAGAAAAATGTTCATGAATGTCCTTGAAACTGAAAAACTTTATGTAATAAGCTTATGCAATTGCAATTGTTGCCAAAAAGCTGCCTGCGGAAGGGGAAACAAGTGTTTATTGGTTTAAAGGTCAAACAGGGTGCACAGGAGATACACTTATTGATCGTGTTATTCTTGTGTAAAATCAATGAGAACAATCCCAGAAAGGAATTGTAAGGTTTCTCATCAGCGAGAGATGATAACCACAGCGCGGAAAACAGAAAACGTAGCCGAGTGATGATGTCTTTTTTTAAACGTGTCAGACTGTGGAGGTTTCATCGGGAATCACTGATCGCTCCCATGGGTGTATGGCTGCCAGGCAGATAATAAATCACTATGCAGATCAATAAACATGACGTGTGATTATCAGCTGATTGACATGAGAAACTAACACAATCAGCAATATCCTAGTCGAAAATGAGAGGAAAGGAAAACTAAATCAATTGTGTTTGTTAGTGTTCCAGCTGTATTGATACAGGCTGACAGTGTGGATGATCTTTGTAGACTGATGACACTAAAACACCAACATTTGTTACTTTAGAATGAATAATTAACATACATTTGTATACTGCAGATACTATACCTGGAGAGGAAAATGTGTGTGTGCAGTTAGTGTGTACTAAACTATAAATACTAATAACAAAAAATCCAGTTGTGCAGATAAGACTGCAACTGCAATACATAAATAGAAATGTGCTTGTGAATGGAGACTTAAAGTAGTGTAGAGCTGAAACAATCAGTTGATTAACAGTTGACATTCTTCTTGTCTGACTTTTCTTTAATGTTGATGCACTAAATAAATAAAATAGATTGTTCACGAGTCCCAAATCTTGAGTCCGAGTAGAGTCTCAAGTCAAGTCTCAGGTCACTGTGTGTGCGACTTAAGTGCAACAGGCTCCTCTTCACTACCTCATGCCTCTGCAGCTCTGTTGCATTCATGTGAAATTTAAGCACCTCCACAAAAGGATGTTTACATGCAGAACTGATGTCAACTTTGCTCCCAGAATGATGAGATAGAGTTACAGAGCCGATGTTCTGTTGCTCCGGATGTGCCGGAGGCGACACTGACGTTCGCAAGAGCGCTCTACCTGGTCCTGATCTCATGTGACAATTAATAGAGTCTTAGCACATCAAAACAGGCAAAATGGCTCTCTGACTAGTGTTTTTGAAAGCTGTGGGTGTTTCGACTTTTGTTATGTGATAGTTTTTATTGAGAAACCTGAAACTGAACCTCATCAGTGAGGATGAGGCACATGTTGACATCAGTATGAGGTCTCTGCATGTGATGTTGACAGCTAACCTAAAGGGAATATCCGCCATTCTTTATGCAGCATGAGAGTTTTAACGGCTTTCTTTTCACTCCTGTCACATCGTGAAGACATGTGACAAATGAGTGTATAAAATGTCTAAAAACTGACAATACGTACGTTTTTTTCCCCCAAACTGTAGATTTCCCATGAGGCTCTGTTTACAGCACAAAAGCCATATTGGTCTCCTGGGTGATACCTCTTTTTGTCAGGTTGTTTTTGATGCTTTGTGCTTTAGATATGTGGTCCTGCACTGTATGTTCGGACATTCTTCTGAAAGAGGGAGAAATCCAACAGAATGATTTCACAGTTATTTTCTGGATTGTGTGCTATCTCTGCTCACAACACCCATTTGTCAGATCGGGACATGAAACAGGACCATCACAAGAATGGTTTAACTGGTCACAATCTGAAAATGAAGGAACATTTTCTCCATTCCCCTTTCATACCGCCGCCTACATATCCCCATGAGAGAGCAGATTTTACACAATGAGCCCATTATCGTCTGTTTACTTCTGTCTTCTGCATCTGAAGAGTAGATAAACCAGTGGTGGTCTCACACAGGCCAACACACAATGCACAATACAGCTGCTGCTGGCTTGTGATGCAGATGTATGAGGGTTTGACATGACACTGTGCAGGCTGGCCTGGAGATTTATCTCTTGCACCACATGATTAACCCCCCACGTATGACCTCTAACAATGCATGCATGTGTGTATACCCTTGAGAAAAACATTAAAAAAAAACAGGAACGGTGTTTTGCATGCATCTGCAATGCTTGGCAGCAGTTTATCTGATCCAACCCACAGAACCATTTGCCTATTTCAAAAATGAGCCAGAGAGTTTTAGGATTCTGTTGTTTGGCCACTGTCTCGTCCTATCTGCCTGATTCAGCATTAGTAATATCACTGCTGCACACTGGTGATTTCAAGAGTGCCTCTCTAAGTTGGAGTCCGTCGCTGAGTCACCATGTAGAGGAGAGTAATTGTAGGTGACAGCACTACGGGCGACAGCACAGACAGCAACCAACCCATGAATTGATGCTGCTGAAATATGCAGAGTCATCTCTGTTGTGTCAGCATCCCTTGGGGACAGACCAGTGTTAAGCTTGTAATAACTGAGTGGCTTATTTAGACTGCAGGTGCTGGAGCTGAAGGGACTAAGTAGGCTTTGACTAACCTCACAGGTGAGACAAACCCACATTACTCTTTCATTAAAAACTTTCTGTTTTCCCTTTTTCCAAAAACACACCAGCCAGGTGGATTGCAGACTCTAAACTCTGTTTACTATCTGTCTGTGTTCCTATGCACTCTGTTCGCATGTGAATGTCTATTTGTGTACATGTCCTTTAAATATCTCTGTAATGCTGTTGCTCTAAGCCATTGATTTAACAGCCGTGACTGTCAGGGACAGAACGATAAAACTGATTGAAGCTCACAGTTTACACACAAGGAGATTTGCAGTTAAACAGAATGGATGATCACCCCGATCTCATGCTGCGTGCAGCAGGGACACAGACACGGCAGCTGAACATCTGGAGGTGGGTTTGAGAGGGGTGGAAGCAGAAACGGAGATCAGGGTTGAAATCAGAATGCAGAGTAGGCAAGAACACTCTCGGTGTTAATCAAAATGTGACAGTGTGTGTCAGTGTGTGTCTGGCTCACAGAGAGGCAGGGAAGGGTGAGTTCTTGTCCATATATGCAACTCTCTCACAGCTCTTGGAACCATTCAGCCATGGAAAGCTTTGGATACTATTCACACACACACACACACACACACACACACACACACACACACACACACACACACACACACACACACAGTCACAGTCACATATTTCTGGCACATACACTGAACAGCCATAACGTTATAAGCACTGACTGGTAAAGTGAATAACACTGATTATCTGGTTATCATGGCACCTGTCAGTGGGTGGGATATATTAGGCAGCAAGTGAACATTTTGTCCTGAGAATTCCTGTATTAGAAGCAGGAAAAACAAGGGCCAATTTGTGATGGCTAGACGACTGGGTCAGAGCATCTCCAAAACTGCAGCTCTTGTGGGGTTGTCCCGGTCTGCAGTGGTCAGTACGTATCAAAAGTGGTCCAAGAAAGGAAACAGGCGACAGGGTCATGTGTGGCCAAGGCTCATTGACGCATGTGGGGAGTGAAGGCTGGCCCGTGTGGCAAGGACTCAGTCTTGGTTCCCCTGAACCAGTGGATTTTAGTGCATAAAGACCCATAAAGATATAAATGATAAAACATACATAAAATTCCAACTAGAAATTGAACTAAAACTAAAAACTGTGCCCATACTTGTGGATGGCAATATTCTCTACTATCACCTCCTTGGCGGAGTTATAAAAAAATGGGCTAGTTTATGCAAGTCTACTGTTTGTCTTGTATGACAAAGTCTTTTCTCCATACAGACAATAAACCAGGGTCTAGCTGCACTCTAAACTACTCTGAGCCAACTGCTATAATTACTCACATTAGTATAATTTCTGCTATATATCTATATCTATATTACAATTTTATTACCACTTTCCATTGCTGCAGTCAGCATGTTCCAGCACACTGTTAATACTTGGTTCAACTTTCCTTTTCAACCTTTTTCGAGGGTATCTCATTACTTTAGAAACATTTTGTGATCATCTGTAGTTAAAAGAGATCTGTGGAGGCAACGGTCCTGCATGGCAGCAACCAAAAGAGGCAAAATGCTTGCATGCGCAAAACTAACCATTTTGATTTAGTTACTGATTGAAGTCCTCAAATTAAACTAAAATCGGCCTATCAGCAGCCAGAGGTGTCCTGTGTGGCCCAGCAAGCAGAGCGCAGAGTGCGGCGGCCACTGCGCCTCTTTGTGCTCTGCTGTGTCTCTTTAAGTACAGCAGGCAGTGCTGTTGGTCCGTGTGGGAGCGCAGGGCGCACGGTGCGGCGCTGCCTCTCCGCAGCGTCAAACAGCCTTTCCTTCACGTCGGGCAGGCGACAGAAACGACAGGTCGACCCACCGCCGGCACCACATCCACGCTTTCACCCGAACAGCTGACTGGAGCGAGTGAAGCGAAGAGGGGACTGTCTGAGCGGGGCTGATGCAGACTGGTGAGCCTACAGGGCCACTGACATTATTCCCTCCTTCTCCCACCGAAAGCTAGAAGTGCGTAGCGGTTTATCTGCGGTGTCCGTACTGTAGATTATTGAGCAGCACTGAGAGACTACATGAGCTAATGAGATTGATAAACTAACGATAGTTATCTGCGGATGAGAGCATAGTGAGGGGAAAAAAAGGGGAAAAAAGCGATCATGCTGCTGTTCATGTTTGGCTGAATGATCGTGGAGATGAAACATGATGATGATCATCCTCAGCTGAGTTTCGTCCTGTGAACTGCACCATCAAACCATCTGCTGAAGCCTTCTCTAGACTCGAGTTTAAAGGTAAGATGAAGTCAAATATTGCATTTGATTTTGAAAAAACCCCAAAAGGAAGTCTTTAATGTAGCAGCTCAGAATCAGTCCTATAAAGGTTGGTTATCTGTGGTGTTAATGAAGTCTATGTGGACTCACAGTCCAACTGCACCGCTATGGACACTGCTGGTTAACGTCCCTGAAGTCGACCAAAACCTACTAACCCAGATATCAGTTTTCCAGAATGTATTTTAGCATTTTTGCTGTTTTAACTACAAAAAAATTTGCTGCCTCTTGTTAAAGGAAAGGTTGCTGTAGGCTTTGTCTATTTCAGGCCATATGTTTTCATTAGACTGAGCCTCAGGTGATAAAAATACCTGAGCAAAGTAGTGCCCTAATCTACCATCTGATCTATATAGTACACAGTAAAACCCTATCATTCTATTTATTTATTTAATCCTACTGAGAGTTGAATGTTCTGCACCTGTAGTGTGTGTATGCTGCTGTGTGACAGATGTTGAGGTCTCCCTGCTCTCTGCTCAGTACATTATCAAGTTCAGTGGGCAGTAAAGCTGCATTAGTCTCTAACCAGGTGCATGGTTGGTGGCTCACAGACTGAATCATTTTCCCCACAGTGTAAAATCGCTGGACTTTCAATAGAGCACTCCTGCTAATTTTTAACCTGAGCTGCAAGTCGGACTGAGAAAACAGTCTGCATTTTCTCCCCTCATTTGTTTCTTTAGTAAAACTCTAGCATTTACAGAACCTCACTTTTTTGTACTCTGAGCTCATTTATTTGTTACTGTTTTAGACCAAGAGTTCCTCTGAGTTACTGTTTTTTTTTTTTTCTCACATTTTTTTAAAGTATAAAAGTATTCTCTGGTTCCAGTTTTGAAATGTGAAGATTTGCTGATTTTCTTTGATTTGTTTCACTGTAAATTGAATATATTTAGGTTTTTGGACACAACAAGATATTTGAGAATGTCAACATTGTCTCTGAGGGTATATTTCACTATTTTCTACAGAAAAAAACAATAAATCAAGAACATAATATGCAGATCAATCGATTCTAAAAATAATAATTAATTTATCCTCAGTTATGCAAGCCTATACTACTTTACACTTACAAGAACTCCCAACGCTCTTACTGAAATTATGTAAATCATCAGCCTCCTGTCGCGGTCATTGTTTCTGATGACCTCTGTGTACTGTAGATCATTGTATTGAACCAACTACTCAGTGGGAAGTGTCAAAGTAGAAGAAGAAGAACATAATGGTAGTTAAGATTGATCACAATGCTGTTAAAATCAATTCATGAACGCCACTAATTGCGTATGCTGCTGCCGTTTCAGCACTTGGCATGACAGTAAAGCATAAAGCATGACAGACCTCTTGTTATGGCAACGCAAGCACTCAGTTCATAGCTCCTGAATCTAGACCAGAGCGGATCAATACCATGGACATCACTGTAAAATACAATATTAAAGCTCCCCTACTTCTAATTTTAATTTAATTACATTTTTCCACCTTCTAATAAAAAGGGAGTTTCCATTCATGTTAAATAACAATGCTGTTTCCGCTGCACATGGCAGAAATCTGTGGACGCTCATTTAAAAAATAAAATCGCATAGATTTTATTGCTGCTAACAGTGGCTGCGCTGTCCCGTGAGCGCAGTCCTCCCTGAGGCAGAAGTGAACAGACGTCAGAGAATTATGGCAACAACTGAAATTCATATTGAGAATGAGAGGGTGCTGTTGATATAGTGAATAATCAGGGTCAAAGTCACAGCATTTTGCATCACCAGGAGACCCTCTGGAATTCTAGTGGCGCATCAGCCTTTTATGATTGTACAGCAAAGATTGAACCCTGAAAGAAATACTTTTTCTGTTCTGAATTTGATGTCAAATTTCAAAGGAGTTTTTCACATGGAAGCTCTGCTTTGGCTGCAGACGAGAACTTGAAAGTGGCTCTGATATGAAGTCCTTTGTGTAGCTACGGGGTGGCCCGCAGCACAGCGAGAAGGCTTTGAATTCCTTCAGAGCTTATCTCTTCATCCTCTTGGCGACCTCTCAGGGACGTGCCATGGATCATATCCATTGGCCGCAGGCTTTGAAGATCGCCAGAGGAACTGACAGGAATTACAGTTGGCATGCTTGTGCTAACCATTACAGTGAAATAACAGTGGTGCAGTGCAAGCTGTGTGTAGGTTGGGCGGCGTACTCGTTCCTGATATATCACCATCAAGAAAGGATGTCAAGATCCTCATTAGAGCTCCTACAGAAATAGCTTGGCATTAAATTCTCTGCCAAAGACGTGCTGAAAGTTTCAGGCTGTTATAGTGTCCGATGTGCAAGAGCAGAATAGCAGTTTCACACTCAGTGGCTTCAAATTCTACATTTTTGGTGTGGATTGAAAATACAAAGGTGTATACCTCTATTTATTGTATTTTGAAATAGCTTATTTCCCTTTTCCTCGAAGGAAAAGATGATTTTAGAGAGAGTATAATCTTTAAAACTGTGTTCCAGTTACACAGATCCAAGGAATGGGTCAGCCTCGCCGCATGCACATCTTTGCCAGATTTTCAGCTTATAAGAGGATTATTCACAACACCGGACCTCTTCCGTAAGACGTATCCATATAGACAGATAATCACTGCCTAGACAGGTGGTGAGGAAATACTGGGTGGTAGACATCAGACAAAAGCTGGAAAAACCCCAAACCCTAAACTTTACCTATAGTCTGTGGGTTTTGTTGATAGATATTAACCGTAGTTCAAACTCTGTAACTAAAGAGAGACAAACTGACAGAGAAAATCAGTAATCCCAGCCGATCGTACATACTGGTCCTTTAAAGAAAAATGCAGTCTGCTCACATGCAGTTAGCAATGACTGAAGAAAAGCTAAATAGCCAATTATATTCTGGAACTCAGGACCTGCTGTTCAGGCTTTTCTTTCAGACAGAGACAGGCACCCTGCTGAGGAGAAGGATGTTGTTTAATCCAACACAGGCTAATATGAGATGGTGTGTGTCTGTGTGTGTGTCTGTTATACTGCAAAGTCCTGTTCTTCTGTATCTTGTCCATCTCTTAACATGCTGGGATGCAAATGCAATTGTGTTTTACTTGGAGACGTGGAGACTTAAACTATTTACCAGAGTCAGTTCATCTATCATTCATTCATTCATTCATTGAGTTATCGTGCAAATGAAAAATACAAATTACATTGTGAGTTTTTCTACGCAAAAGACACACAGCTCTTCACACTACACTGATAGTAAACATGAGAGCAAGATAAGAATTGACGAAGACTGACGAGCTTCCTCAAAGAGCAACATTTGTCTTTTGTTCTCCTGTCAAAATATCCTGTACTTTTTATGTCAGTGTGCTTTGCGTTCTGGATAAATCTCACCACCCTGAATCTCGATAGCTTTGCTTGCATAAGACCGTGGTTATTGTTTCTTCAGTAATAAGATTAATTTAGATATGTTCCATATGTTTCCCCCCAGTTTGAGAACCTCTGTCTTAAATCTGTCCACACATTGAATACATAATTGCTGCAGCAGCATGTTTATTTTTAAAGTCATACAATTTACAGTACACTAATTCAGTGTAGAAAAAACATTCTTGCAAGACTTTGTCCCCAAACATGGATTAACACAATATTTGCTGTTCATCAGGAGGTCACTCAGGGTCTCACATTTGGCATCAACTCTGGCTCCCCTCAGTCTGACCTGAAGTCTCTGTTTGCTCTCCGCACCGTCAGACTGACTCACAACTGTGTGAACGTCCAACCCTAACCACTCAGGGGAGGCAGAAGGCCTGGCATTGTGTGTGTGTTCGTCCATGTGTGTGTGAGAGAATGAAGGGAGAGTTTGGTGTGTTAGCAGAAAAAAAAAAAAAAAAAAAAAGATGAGGAGCAGAAGATGAGGAGAAAACTGTGAATATAAAAGCCACATTCTCTGTGGTCCATGGCCGACCTTGAGATGGTGCCAGTGGTTGAGATTAGCACATCACCACTGTAATAGCTCACCTTGAGTAGCAGACCCCCTTGTCCTTTCTTCAACTTGATCCCTGCTTCACAAAAAGGCCTTTGTTGCAGTTAAAGTGCTGGGCTCTGTTCTCTGAACCTGCTGCACCAACAGAGCTCCAACCTGGCAACAGCCGAGCCTTTAAATAGAGAAATCTAGTTTACCAACTCCACTTTTAGGGAACTGGAGGACAAAATGGTCTGAGTGCTGCCTGTGTGTTAATCTGCGAGGCAGTTATCTTTGGCTCTGTAACAAAAGCATAAATGAGGTCCCTCATTAAAGTTATTTATGTCCTAATAGGTGAAAGAAGACTGAATAACAAATAATAATTTGTTTCCACTGATTTTACGAAAGTCCCTTTTAAGCTCTATTAGGTCAATAAAGTAGATATTATAAGCACATTAGCGAGCAGCCTTGTGGTGTTTTCTCAGCTTTGAGAACATAACTTCGGGTAGTGTTAGTGGATCTGTGAAAACACATCCATCCACACTCAGACTGTGCTGTGAAGAATTAGACAGGCTTTTTCTTAAAAGGGGATGTCATTAGATTTTGATAAACCCTGTCCTAACAATACTGCAATACAGCAGCAGAAGCCCCGGTGTGATTAAGAATCGGAAGAAGTGGAGTCCCCTCTGGGTCTGTCAGCCTGTGCAGTCAGTGTCAGCAACAGCGTCAGATCTCCTTTCAGCATGCTGAGCCCTAATTGGGCTCTCACACTTGCTAGAGAAATTTGTCAGGTTGCTGTGAAATGAACTACTTAGCCAAATCAAGATGTGCATCCCTGTGTTCCTCCCTAAACCACCCCACTACTGCTGTGATTATCATGGAATAACAGGATGCTTTTAAACCGAAACCTATTTTTGCTTATTTTCTGTTGGGAATATGTCATTAAAGGGTAAATAGTAGCAAATTCTCATGATAGTTTTGCGTGCAGTAATTGCATCTACTGGGAATTCATCAGAAAGCAGCGCAACAGTAACCAAGCCTCGGCTTATTATTTTTA